AAGAAAATTTGGGTTCATGATGCAGCATTGTCTCCAAATAGCTCTGTGCCATTTGGGCAAACTAGGGCACCTCCTTGAGTCTCAGATCCTTCATCTGTTAAATGTAGCTCTCAGGAGTTGCCTCCCAGATTCAGTAGGCTCTGCTAAGTGTGGAGTACTTCCCTGGAGGGACCTCATGACCTTGAGCATATTCTTTTCTATTGCCTTGCACAATGCCCAGCAAATAGTAGGCACTGAATAAATGCTTGCTAAATAAACAGTCGAATATAAAAATGGTAGTCATTATGATTATGCATTCATATATGTCACAATCCATATCATTTAGGTTCAAGATGGTACTGGAGAAAACAAACAAAAATAAATCTGGTGGTAGAAGGTGAGTGGAGAGCTAAAAACTATATGTGCAATAATTTGATAAATAAAATGGCTAAGATTTGGCATGGTTGCTCCAAGTTGTTTATTGACCATGTCTTGTTTGAGTGGCTCACTAGGGCCTCTTTCCTCTTAACATATGTGATCTGTCTGGGATCTTTGTTTCCAGATATCGATTACCTAGTTTTAATCCTAACCTGCTGACATAGCATGTCCATTTCCTTAAGAATAATATTAGAGGAGCCAGGAAAAGCTGATTGCACTTTAAAAGTTCAAACAAGCTAAACACACACACACACACACACACACACACACACACACACACACACACACACACACACACACACACACGGAGGAAACAAAAGAAAACTATTCCTTAGAGAGAAGGAATTACTTCCTTTAAGTAAGAACAAGATGTTCTGTGAAAGGAATGAGCTGCTTTGGGATATTAATATGATCATTGTAGTAAAAATTCATTAGATTTTGACCATCTAGTTGAAGATATGTTCTAAAGAATGGAAGAGGTGATGGAAAATAGTTGATAATTATAAGAAAATTGGAAGATAAACTTAGGATACCTATCATCAACTCAAGATTTCCAAAAAAAGAAAGTAAAGAGAAGAAAAGGAGGGGAGGAAGATATCAAAGAAATACTCAAAAGAAATTCCCAGAACTCAGGACAAGTGTCTCCAAAGTGGGAGACCATAACAAATCAAAAAACTCATTCATGCGAAACTTCAGGACAATAGGGTTAAAGAGGGCAGCGAGAGAGAGAGAGAGAGAGAGAGAGAGAGAGAGAGAGATATGTTCGAAGGACCAAGAATAAAAATGACATCAGACTTCTAAACCACAGCTTCTGGAACTGAAAGACACAAGCACAATGCCTTCAATATTCCAGTGGAAAATTACTTTCAACATAAAATTCAATACCCAGTCAAATTATTAATTAACTGTGATGTTTAATAAAGATACTTTTTAGACATGAACGGTCTCACAAAATTTACCTCCCATAGCTTTTCTCAAGAAGTAGATAAAGGATATGGCCCACCACAATGAGTGAGAAAACCCAGAAAAATATGTAGGATCCAGAAAATAGGGTTCTATCACATGAGAGACGAAAAGTGAATGACAGCTGGGCAGATCTGGAGAACATCCAAGCCTGACTGGGACAGGAGCATGAGGATGTCCCATGGGGAATAAATGGAACTGAGAAAAGCTAATGCCTCTCCATGTGGAAAGTTGTATGGGAAGAGTTAACAAGGGGGTTCCATAAAATAAAGCAAGTGCTTTTAAAAAGGTAAATATTAACTATACACACACACACACATACACAAGAGTTGTAATAAGAAAGGAAATACTATCATCAAACACTACTTGCCTTAAAGGTGAATAATGTTTTACATGATCATAGTAATATAAACATAGAATATTGATTTAACTAAAATTGTAATATATTAGTCAGAATCCCAACAAGAAACGGCTTTTAAATGGGGTGTCTTGAGGAGAGTTTCATAAAAGAGACTTCGTAGCGGGGTGAAAAGAACTACAAAGGAAAGAGCAGTACCAATATGGGGGGGCCATTACCCGCCCCCGCAGCCAGACCGGAGGAGGCAAGGAGGGAGTAGCTCGGAAATTAAAGAGAGCTGAATGGAGACCGTGCACTCTCGGCGGCACAGTCCCGAATTGCCTGAGAGTCTCCGATCTGGACCGCGCGCGCCCCCTCGCGGTTACCCTGGAGACTGAGCGCCCCAAGCTTCATTACCTTCTGGGAAAAGAAATGGAAAGTAGTGGTGGACACGTAATTCGTTGTAGTGGCGGCGACGAGCACCGCTCTGGCACTTTGGGATAAGTGTCCCGGGATTTCGAGCTGCGGGGTTGGGTCATCGGCCCCAGATCTTCCGCCCGCTGGGGCCTCTGGGCAGCCTGGGTGGCTCCAAGGCCAGTTTGGGAAGGCTGCAGCGCTGGTTGGGGCGTGGTGGGCAGGTGAGTCTCGGACCTCTGGCTTCCACACCTGTGAAGCGGAGATGATGACAGTTACCTGGTTGGAGCCAAGACTGCCAGGGGGCTGGACTGGCATCCAGGAGGCTTTGTGGGGGCTTAGACGCTCAGCTTGCTGGGAGACTGGGGAGGGGGGCATCCATTACCTTTAATATGTTGATTGGTACATAAAACATACTACTTGATCACAACACCAAAAATAAATTCGAATTTCAGCCCACTGCTTCTAACCACTATTTTTATTAAAATGGTCTTTAGTTATTCTCAGCTACAAATGACTCAGGATACAAATTGTTTCCATGATCGCTATCTTTTCTGGTATTTCGGGATAATTGGACTCTTAACGATATCCAATACTTTGTTAAGGATTTTTTTTTTTTTAATCTGGTTAGGTTCTAGGTAAATTGGAGAAATATATTTGCATTTGTCAACAGCTTATTTTGGTGACTTAATCTGTTTAATCCTCAGCTTCATTCCAAACAGGGATGGAGAGGACAGCAGTTTCTTTATCACTAGTGAATGCCAGGCAGAACGCCCAGTTCTGGATGCAGAAAGGTGAATCAGACGGGGATGGTGAGGGGTAGCTGAAATTGTAACTGGACCATAGGCAATCCTGGCCTTGGTGGATGAGACCATGTGTTGTATTTGGGAAGTGCTTCATCCTTTGGTCACTTATACAACCGGTCTTGCCTGTGACCTGGGAGAAAGGCATTGTCCATGGAGGCGTTGTGGGGACCTGGCTCCCTAATTTTATCTCAGCTCTCAGTACAGAGGTTTACTTCCTGCAGCCTCACAAATATTCTGATGGGTCAGGATAAATAGAAGGGATAAAAGAATCAATGGAGAAGACCAGGGTGGGGAGAATGTTGCCAAATGCCAATTTATTATCTTTATTTCCTGCCAAATCTGACTCTTTGATATATGTGGTTCTCCCACACCCACCCTTTCTCCACTGCACACGAATGTTTATGGCCTCCCTGGAAGGTAAGTAGGAGGAACTCTCAGTCCCTGGCCCTGAGGTTATGTCATTCTAATTATGTTTTAGAGTGGACACTTAGGCTTTTTCTTTCTGTGTCCTCTGCACACCTTCAGAAAAATTGGAGCACTCTCTCACATGGCGATGTAAGAAAAATCCAGGAAGAAACACTTTCCTCTCCCCAACACTCTCCTTAATGCTCTCCCTCTATCATAAGCTCCAAGTACTGATCCTTTTCCTGGAGTCCAACTCTAAAACAAGAGAAGAAATGCAAATGGCTACTAAATACATGGCCTTTACCTCATTAGCAACCAGAAAAGCCAGTTAAGATGACAATGAGATATTGAGCAGTTTGGCAATTTTAAATGTGCATAATCTAGTAGTTCTGATTCTAAGAATGTACACTAAGAAAATAATTGAATAAATGTATCAAGATATATGTGTGAGGATATTTTTGAATCACTGATTATAATACATGCTCCTCAGCAGAGGATTGGTTAAATTATGGAGCATATCTAGGCTGGAATGTCATATAGATTAAGGACCCTAAGGAGAAGGCAGCCTCATGGCTTCTGTGGTGTTTCACCAACACCAATGTGGTTCTGACTTCATCTCATCCCCTGACATTCATGGCCAACCCCCTGACTTCCCCTGCCGTATGGGCTGGGAATGACCCAATGAGAAGTACCAAGAGTGTCAGGGAGGGTTAGGGGAGACCTAGAAGGAAGCAGAGCATTGAAACAACAGCTCCCCACAGTGACGCCGTTGTGGAGGAGGAGGTGGTGGCATAGTTGAGGGAAGGGGCAATCGAGAAGTGTGAAGTGGTAGGTATATTCCTGTATCAGGTGCATAGATATAAGACAAAGCAGGGAGGAGGATTGTGGTGAAAGTCGCTGTAACCTTGGCTTCTTGGCTTCTCCACTTCTCTGAGCCTCAGCTTCCTCTTCCAAACAGAAATACGAACCACTTCACAAGAGTAAGTTTGACAAGTGTAGTGGCTAAGTTTTGTATTGGTTTTGAATCTTCGGTCTGGCACGTACCAGCTGTGTGACCTTATGCAAGTCAGTTAATAATAGATTGTAGCATTTATTGAGCGCGTACCGTATCAACCATTAGCATTCTTCCCAGACGAGGATACTCTTTATTTTTATTCCAGTTAACAGGAGGAGGAAACAGTAACGTGGAGAGAGTAAGTCATTTGTCCGGGGTCCCAGCCAGGATTTCTCTACCCACCGCATTACCCTAACTTTTCTGCGCCGAAAACTGGGATAACAATAATACTGACACTTCCTGTGTGGTTGGGGGGATTCGAGAGGAGGCCTGGAAAACAGTTTGTGCTTATTAAATTATTATTAAAGCTACTATTATTATGTTTTTCGTGTTTTCCTGAGCTTTTGAGGGAGCAGGCATCACTTGCACGAAACCTTTGGATTAAAAAACGACCTCTCAGGTAAGGGGAAAAAAACTGCTGCTGCCGACTTCTCAGCGGTTACGAGGGCGTGGCCACGGGGAGGTGGCCTAGAAGGCGGGCGGGGCCAAGAAATAGGACCAGGCTAGAGGGGCGGGGCCAGAGCCAGGGCGTCGCGTCTGGGGGCGGGGCCCGAAGAGAAGAGGCGGGGCGCGGGCCTGAGGCGCATGCTCGGTGGTGCGGCCCGCTCCGCGGCCGCCGGCGCCACCGCCCACTCGGGGTTGGCTCGCGGCTGGCTGCCGGGGTGCAGAGCAGGGCCGGGCTAGGCGAGCGCACGGACATGGCCCCGTGGCTGCAGCTCTGCTCCGTCTTCTTCACGGTCAACGCCTGTCTCAACGGCTCGCAGCTGGCCGTGGCCGCGGGTGGCTCCAGCAGAGCGCGGGGGGGCGCCGACACCTGTGGCTGGAGGGTAAGGAGAGGACGGCCAGCTTCTCGCCGTCCCCAAAGGCGCGGCAGACGCGGCGCGCACAGGTGCTCGTGGGCGTCCGAGCTCGCGCCAACTTGATTGCTTTGCGGAGTCTCGGGTCCGGCTGGGATCTCCGCGGCTCCGGACCTTCCTCCCTCCTTCCCCGGGCGCGCGTCTGCCAGCCCCCGGGGGGATAAAAGGGGCCGCCGGACCCCCGGCTTTGTGTTGTTAATGAGGCGCGGCCACAAGCCGGGGTCCGGCTCCCAGAGGACGGGCGAGAGGGGCGTCCGGCGGCGAGTGGAAAGAGGACGCCCCACCTTTTGTTCCCCGCCCAGGACCTCCTCTGCCTCAGGGCTGCGCGCCCCGTTTCTGGGATCCTCCAAGTTGTTCGGATCCGGGGCGCTTTGGAGCGGGAGTGGGAGTCTTCCCCCAGAGCTCTGCAGAATCTCAGGGCTACCAGGGGGTAACCCGGAGCGCAGGGGAGGGATGCATCCCCCATCTCGGGGCCGCTTTGTTCCTTCTAGGCCGGGCCATCTTACCCCCACTTTCACTCGACCCCGGACTCCTGACTTGCTGGGAAATTTTGTACCCCGTTCACCCCTTCATCTCCAGATGGTCTCACGAATGATCTCCCGCCCTCTGCCCCAACTTGAATTGAGGATATTTTTCACGGCCAAAGGAAGGCAAGAATTTATCACCTCGGTCAGGTGCCGGAGACCACACTGGTCTCTGCGAAGTGCACAGACTTCCGCCGTGTGCTTGGAGTCCTCTCCCCGTAACGGAGCGCTCCTTTGATGCTGTCCAGACGGTGGGGCATGGGGTGAGGGGTTGAGTGCGTCAGAACACTGCCGTCCCGGGTCCTTACCAGGGATTCTGGCCTTGGGCGACCCCAGGACCTGGAGACTGCATCTCTCTGGCCCCTACCTCCCACAGAAGCCGAGGGGCCAGCTGGCGTCAGGACACTCACGTGTAGAGGTCATGGGCTTTGCTTTCAGGCAGCCACGGACATGAGATTGGCTCTGCTCCTGGGCAGCTGTGAGCCTCAGTTTCTTCACCTGAAAAATGGGAGTAAATGGGGATTACATACTTTTCCCAGCACTGTTGCCCTGAGGGATGGGATATGGGACAATTTGCTTAGAGTAATGTTGACCCACCTCTTCTGGGGTGCTCCCAGCGTCCTCAGCACAGTCAAAGCCTGACACCCCTTTAGGGGCACAGGCTGGTGCCTCCAGCTCACTTTTGTCATATTCTGAGACAGTATGGAAAACCAAGTATGAGCCAGGCAGCTAGGATGTCTTCAAACCCAAAAGTTGCCGGGTAGACAGCTACAACACACCCTCCCACCAACTCCATAGTGAATATAACCTTCCTATCCAAGAAAAACATACGTTTTCTTACTCTCTCCCATTTTAGGAAAGTATCACTATTATAATGTTTTTTGTTGTTGTTTTTTTTTTTTTAAATAAATAGATACCAAGTTTTCCTCAGTTTTTAGATCAGAAAGTTTTCCTTGAGGCTATCTCATGTCGACTTATTGATTCTCCTAAAGTTTTTGGATCTAGACTGATGGGTTGGCTTTTGAATAACTGTAACAGCATCACAGGCATTTATTTTACTTTGGGTTTTCATATGATGGCATAGGTAAATCAGTTCAATTTGTTGTTTTTTGCAGTTTTTGTTGTTTTTGCCTAGGTGGCTTCATGTGTCAGTACACAAAGCTTATGAAATTTTAATGCGATGAGTATAGTAACACCTCAAAGGAGCCAAGCCGAGTGGTTTTGTTCTCTTTGCCTATGGTAATATGTTCTCCCCTAAACCTGCACCTGTACAGAATTAATGGCGGCCCAGTGGCTTCACATTCATGCGCACCTCCTCTCTTCTGTCTTCTAGTTGGAGGTCCTCAACAGCTCCTACCTCGGCTCCACTAGTCCTTTCCTTGGGTCATCTTCATCCTCTTCTTGAAGGAGCATGGAATCCTCTGGGCCATCTCCCAGGCTCTTCCCAATCTCATACATGGCTCCTTCTGTCTTGAACTTGCCTTCGGTGCATCTGATGGAGCCACCAGCTTTCCCTGACCCATCTTGCCTACCGCCCTAGCATATCCATCTTTCTAGCCTGAGACCCTGCCCCTCTCACTTTGCTCTGTAATTCCTGTGCCCTTTATGCTGCGAGGCATGGTTTTCCCTGCTCCTGGGATGCCTTTTCTTCCCCTGAGAACCCCCTGCTTGGCCTAAGACTCAGCTCAGTTGACGCCTC